TGGGCTGGAAAGTGCATGTTATTCTTGGTGTCCCTTGTCAATCTTACCAGAAGTCTACTACATCTTGTGCTGTTCTTTGTGGATTCTTAATTTTTAGTTTTCCTTACTTTCAGTGTAGATGGAATTTTCTTTTCTATTTAGAACTTTTATGTCCATTTTCACCAGTGAATTTCCTAGTTTCTCTCCTGTAATAATTTTTCCCATTGATCATATGAGTTCTTTATGTAGAGATCATTAACTCTTTGTCATGCATCTTGTCAATATTGTCTCTTGATTTGTTCTTCCTCTTTGAACAAACATCTTAGGCTGTTCCCATCATACCCTGAATACCTTTACTCTGGGATTCCCATGACCATTTGGCTATTAGGCTTCTGTCACTTCTAGCTGCCAGTCCTAGCTTCTCCTATCCTCGTTGTAGCCAAGAATACAATTTAAGTTTCAGTCCGCCCACTACCTGCTTTTAGCTATTAGCTAAACCAGGGCTTACCTACAAAGCCTGAGTTTTTTTTAATAAAGACTCTCTTTAATCATGGTGTCTCTGGCATTCTAGAAATCCCACAATTCACAAACGTATCCATTTCTGCAGTCTCAAAGTGAAGGCTACCAGCAGCAAGGACTTCTGGCTGCAGTGACACATACTAGCCCTGAAGTTCTATCTCCTCCTGATGAGCCACTTTAGGACTAGGATCCATCCTTTCCACAACATACCTTACAAGTGCCACCATATATGCTAATGTACTTACACAACGGCTCTCTATTTTACCTAGACTGTAAGAGAGATCAGAGATCTGTTCTTGCATGGCTTCACCCCTTGGAATCACTCTAAATCTACAGCGACAGTACTCAAAGCTCTTCAGTAACTGCAGTGTCTGAACCACAAGAGTCAGAAATGGCAAGCATCTTACCACCACAAAGCGTCAGCTGTTTACTTTCCAAATCAGATTAGGCAAATATCTTATGTCTCCTGGCATGGTCTCAGCACAGGGACACACCTAGGTTGTGTGAGGCTCTGGGCAAATATTTTTTGCAGGACTCTATCTTTTTTAAAAAAATTAATTAAAAACGTTTTACAGAATTCATGGGTACATGTGAGGTATAGTGATCTTTCTATGAATATTTTAAAAGAGTTGAGAAGTACTTAAGTAGTTGTTTATTGCCCAATCAACGCACATGAAGATTCTTCATTCTGAGTGACTTACCCCCAATCAGCGTGTTAGCACCATTCTGGTTGTCCAATATGTGATTCCAATGAAAAAAATATGCCCCAGTCAGCAGACAGGAGTTGCTTGCCAGGATGCCTTCCTGGAATTGAGGCTCAACCATAGAGACCCAGGATACCCCACAGATAAAAGCTGTGGAGCTCCTGAGGCATCTAGTCAACCCCACACGTGAGCTAGAGGATCAAAGAGCACCCCTAAAGGGAAGAAACAGGGATCAGGACCCACATGGGTTCTGGTCCAGCCTCAGGGTGCCCTGTCCAGACAGCATTGCCAGGCCTGGCCAGTCCTGTATACTGAGTTGTGACTTAGAAAATTTCATGTGAGTAATCCAAAGTGTGGGGCCTTGTGAGACATGTCGCCCAAGGCAAGGATCCCACTTGCCTAGATCAAGGCAGAACCATCCCAGTGTGTACACGCTAAGGGTCTATTTCTCATCACCTGCTCCTTGGACTGGTTTGGGAATTAATTTCTTTCAAGTTATGGAGTCATAAAAACATATAAGTAACCCCAAGTAATGGGAGTTTACTAAAAGGTTGTTGCAGCATTTTTGCCACAGGTCTCTGCTATTCTAGTAACTTCTTTCCCTTCGAGGTCTCTTATGGTCTTGCTGTGGACAATTCTCCCACTCTGTCCCTTCATCCTGACCTTCTCTCCTCAAAGCAGGAAAGATCTAATTTGGTCTGTTACTCATCATCTGATATGGGATGTTCTGGTTCAGTCATATATGGCCAGTATAACAGGATTGGTCCCCCTAAAAGCTCATTGCCATATTTCTTAGAGGAAAGTGAGTACCTAGCAGACTATGAGACTTCATGATCTGTCCAGTGCAAGGCTCCTGGCCATTTTATCAGACTGTCTTCCAAAGGGGCAGTCCCAATTTATCTTGCCACCGGAAAGGTGTGAGAGCACTGCTTTCTCAGTATACTTGTCAGGAGCAAAGAGATTCATTCTTTTTTAAATGATCAGCTAAGGTGGTAGACAAAAACTCGGGAGTATTGTTTAAATGTACATGTGGAATTTCTTGGTAGTAATATTGGTTCTTTCACCATATACTAGTTAATCAATTAAATTTTGTCTTTGGTAAATGATCCGTTTGGGTCTTTTACTCCTTTGTCTATTTAGAACTGAGTGTTTTTCATGTCTACTTGTGTGACCTAACCATAACAAAGATATTGGCCATTTGTTTGCTGTATTTCCGGTGAGTCTTTTCCTTCTCCTGCTCGTCCTCTTCCTGCCCCTCCTCCTTCCCCTTCTCCTCCTCCTCCCTCGTCTCTTCCTCCTCCTCCTCCTTCTTTTTTGCTTTTTTTTAAACTTTGGATAAATTAGTCTTTTGATGAACATGATTTCAGAGTGTTTTAAATAATCAAAGCTATTAATATTTTCATTTGTAATTTATTCCATCCTTTTGGCTCTTAAAAGTATCCCCTTCCTATTTCATAGATTTGTTAAACATTTCAAACTTTCTCTAGTTTTAATATCACCTTTATTTAAAATGTTTATCATCTAGAAAACTTAATTAAATAATTCTGGAATTGTTTATTTATATAGTAAGATAAGAATTTAAATGTTTTAAACAAATCACTTGCGTATCTTTCACCTGCGTTAATTCATTGAAAAATCCTGTTCAATTTATTTGTTATGTTACCCTTTTTCTGTTATATATTTTAATACAAATAGGGCTTATGTCTCAGTAGTAGTGTATAGAGAATGGTCTAGATTGGGTTAAAATACCAAAGTAAAAAGGAGATACAGGTTATTCAATAAATAAACTGGGAATCAAAATTGACATCAGTTTAGTTTTATTTCATAATCAACAAAGCATTTCAAATAAAAGAAATACAACTTTAAAAAGCCTCCAGTTTCTGCTTTAATTTCACATTTCATACATTGCACAATATTTACTAGATGCTCATTTTGATTGTTTCATAACTTGAAGAGGAGGAGGCAATAATTCTGCCAGATGGTTAAATATTCCAGAAGATTTCTGCTCTCATTTTCCTAACTTGAGAGATACAAAGCAGTGTTTACTTCCAATACAAATTCTAGGTAAAAATCATAGCTTACTTCTCATGTTAAACATTCAGGATGATGACAAGCAAAAGACAGTGTTGTTACTAAGTTAATGCTTTCTTGAAATCTTATGTAGCTATATGACAATTGCTATATTTGTTAAAAACCAACTTACAACAAATTGGTTATCCTGTGAGCTTTTTTTTTTTGCTTTCTTCCTCCTATTTTCTCTTATTCCTTCCTTCCATCCTTCCTTCTTTCCTTTCTTCCTTCCCTTCTTTCTTGCTTTTTTATTTTTATTTATTTATTTTTTGATGAGGAAGATTAGCCATGAGCTAACATCTGTTGCCAATTCTCCTCTTTTTGCTGAGGAAGATTGTCACCGAGTTAACATCTATGCCCATCTTCCTCTATTTTATATTTGGGATGCCACCATAGCATGGCTTGATAAGTGGTGCCTAGGTCCACACCAGGGATCTGAGTCTGTGAAACCCAGGCCGCCTAAGAGGAGCACGTGAACTTAACCACTATGCCACTGGGCTGGCCCCTTTCTTTCTTTCTTTTTCCTTCTTTCTGTCTAGCATATTGCACTAGAAAGCATCTACTGACGGACATCATTAAGAATAATTGTCCTTGAGGAATAATGGAAAATATAAGCTAAATAAAAATAATAAAGAAAATGCTATATGGAATCACTTATTAGGTAAAAATTATTACATTCTTGAGCCATATACAGACACTATTAGCTGTGATCACTGCATTGCAGAAACTAAAATAAGAGTACATTTTTCTTCAATGAAAATCCCAGTGTTCGGAGAAACAAACAAACAGCAACATAAGCAACATGTTCACTATATCAGAAACAAATCACAGGTCTTTGGAGTTATACTCCAGCGAGCTTGTGTCCTTAAACGAAAAGCGGCAGCCACAGGCATCTGGCCACTGATCCTCTCTGGTACTCACGTTTGGGGATGTACCTTCCTTTAAGAGGGTGGCCACCTATGGGAGTGGACGTCTAGATAACTGCACAAAGGACCAATGGCATAGTTTAATCATTGTACAAAACCCTTTAGAGAATCTGAGGTTGAAGTTCATAGGGAAGCAAACAGGGATAATGCCTGATGAGTCAATACAAGATGGAGAATTCTTCACGCTTGTAACGTATATTTCGATGACAGACTTTTTCCCACTGACCCTCACTTATTTGTGTGTGAAGTTACAGGAGAAGGTCCCTAGGTAAAGTACGTTCCCAGTTGCTAGATTTAAATCTAAGAAATAAAATTTATTCTTTAATAAATATATAAGCTCAGAATTAAAGTTCATTTTTAGATCAAATGAATTGGATTTGTTTTCGTTGCTTTCCTGACAACATAACACAATGGCAAAGAAAAGTTAAATCATCTTGTTAGTAAATTCAATCCAAATCTTGTTAAAATCCAATCCAAGGATTTTTCCTCAATGATGTGGACAACTATTCTTGGGAAAAGCACAAAAAGATCCTATCTGGGAAAAAAAATAAGTGTCTAATTGAAGTATCGTAAAATATACCCACAGAGTTCAGTTTCCTTTGCTTGATTCCCACACTTCTCGTAAAGGAGTGAAATCAAGGAACTTTAGAATTTTCTATGTTCCATCATTTTGAGTCCATATAATTCATTAAAAATCCAAGTTTTTAAGCTCGTTCACTTGTCATTCCAAAAAAAGTAAAATTAAAATTCTTTAGGATAAAGTTTTTTTTTTAAAAGTGACAGTGATTTTTTTTTCCCTTTATAGTCACTTTGGAAAGTGAATGAGGATTGTAAATCACAAATATCTAAAGTTTTTATTTTAGTTTAAAATATATATACTGCATCACAGCTGATTCTTAGATTAGCATCACTATCTTTAATAATCCTCATATTGAATAAAAAAAGACATAAATATATAACTATTTGAAAAAATATTAATTTTTGTGAGACAAAAAGAAAAAAACATGTTTAAGAAAAGGTGTTTTACATTGTAATGTCCAACTTGCACAAGCATATTTCACCTTGGAAAGGCATTAGTCATCTGGGCCATTTCCTCAAAATTCTGTTTAGCCTACTTACGATTTCCTTTCAATAAAAGGCAAGAAAAGAAAGAAACAAATTAAAAGCCAAAGCACCCTGCTCAGGAATCTGGGAATGCCTTTATGATGGACTCATAGGCAGGTGGGGGCGGTGTTGAAAGGCCAATTCGAAGACTGTTACTGGACCAGTGGAAATCAGGACGGCTCAGACTGTGGGAAGTGTTGACGGTAGAAGAGGTGTTGGAAGAAGGGAGAGTCATCAGCTGACTGTCAGTTTCCACGGGAAGTGGTGGGCTTTGCAGAAAGGGATGGAAAGTTGAAGCCCTGAAGCTTGATTTTCTTGGAAAGGAATTTGCTTGTTCCAGGGAAGCTTGTCGCTGAAAAGTGAGACTGGCCAGGCTGAGGTTGCTTCGACGTTCACAGCCACTGTGGCGGTAAAATCCAGTTCTGTTGAGGCCGTGGGTGTAAGAAGACCTAGGTCGCCGGCTTGAACTCCACTGCGAGATGGGGGCACTGGCTCTCCTTCGAGACAAGCAAACAAACAGAGCCCAAATCAATCCTCCAAGGACAAGTCCAATTGCCATGGACACTGTGAAGGACATTATAAGATCCTCTGGAAGAAAAAAAAAAGATGTAATTTGATTTGTAAATAAGCGTTCAACTAAAAACATAGAGTAGAATACAAATAGTAACTATGGCATACATGATGAATTTAAATAAATTTTGAATTAGGTAAATAAAAGATGGTGCTAGGTGGATGTGAGTAAATGGAAGCTGCTGTGCTTCTATGTATTAAAGCAAAAGGATATAAAATAACATTTTTAGCAGTAGCATTCCACATTGCCTTTGCTGTTTTATTACCTTTAAGAAATGTCATAAAAATAGTCTCACTTTTTTTTAAAAAAGGCTATTCTTTAGCTCATAATTTTTTTATAGAGTTGCAAATATAGTCCAAAGATTGCTTCCTTTTGAGTTATGGTAGTAACCAATGTGCCAAAAATTGATAAAAAATTTCATAGTCACGTTGGCTTTGCCCTTTCCTCTGTCTGCTTTCATCAACCCTTCTGATGTCTCCCACCTGCAGGCTACATGATGTCTCACTTCCTGCACTCATTTTTGAGACTGGAAGTGCTAGGATAGAACCATCTGGTGGGCTGACTGATTTATGTCGTATTTCCTGAACTCTTGGACGGTCACCTGTACCTCTGACTCATTGATAACATGACCTATGAAAACTACTGGGCTCTTTTTTGGTCTCCAAGTTCCAGTTAATGCTGTCACAATACCATTGTTAAATTCCTGTCCCCTGAATCTCCATAGAATGTCTGCTGTGATAATAAAATTCCTGTCCCCTGAATTTCCATGGAATCTCTACTATACACCAGTACCCTTCAATTCACAGAACTTGTATTTATTCAGATTTCCTATTCCGGGAGGGGGTGGGGAATGCCTTCCCCAAATGGAAATTCTACCTTCTGCTTCTTCTTGGGAACTAAAAACATATTCTTGAGTGCAGCTGGGTAGCAGAGCCCCTGCTTTGAAGGGAAAGACACTCTTGATAGTGGAAGACCCCTCCAGCCTTACCACCCATCACATTTCCCCACCCTCCACTCCATAATCTACCCACAAGCCATGTTGATTGTCTCACTATCCCAAAACGTGTTTCTCCCTCAAACTCTGCGCTTTTCCACGTACTTTTCCTTATATCTGGATACAATTTTTAAGTTTCCGTCTGGAAAACTCACTCTTCAAGATCCATTTCAAGTATCACCTTTTGGATAAAGACTTACAAATTTCATAAACAACAATTTATTACTGTTAAGTAGAGAGGTAAGCTATCTTATCTAATCGTTTATTTAAAGATTCTGTCTTGAGAGAGCCCTGGACTGGAAATTAGCTAATTGGTGTTGTGAGATGGGAAGAAAAAAAGGGAGTTGCAAATGCTTTGAAGTGCCTGCCGTCAAGAGGTAGAATCTATTTCCCCAGCCTTTCAATCTGACTTCTCAACTTGCTTTGGCCAATAGGATGCAATGGAAGTGAAGCTGTGCAAATGGAAGCCTAAGCCTGAAGAGGCCTTTCGGCTTCCATCCCTCCCGCTCTCAAGAGCCCTGCAATTGCCAGCATATGAATGCACCTAGGCCAGCCTGCTGGATGCTGAGAGACATATGGCCCAGTTGCCCCAGTAGCCCTAGCCAAGAGCCTGCTAACCTCCAAACATATGAATGAGATTATCCTAGATAAATCAGATGCTAGTCAACCCAACAACTGACTATGACATATGAGAGAAGACCAGCAGAAAATCCATCTAGCTCAACTTGGCCCAAATCGCCTACTCTCAGAACCGTGAACTAAGTAAATGGCTGTGTTTAAGCCACTGTGTTTTGGGGTAGATTGTTACACAGCAAAAGCTAACAGATTCAGGGTTCCAAACTCAGCTCTGTTCTGATGTATTGTATGGTTTTTAAGAAATTTGTTTAGCCTCACTGATTTTGTTATGTTTTTTTAATGAGAGTTAGATTTTACAATTACTGGGTTGTTTTCAGTTTGTTGTAACCTGTGACAACATATAGAAAATCATAATGTAGAAATAACAAACCAAGCTAGGGTTAATAAATACATGAGAATAATCATTGCTCCTTAATTTTAGGATACATTTTAGTGTCCTTCCACTTTATATCGTCTCATTTGTCTCCTGCGAAAAGACTATATTTGTTGTGTCCTACTTTCACAATTACCTTCACAAATGCTCTAAAACAACTGTTTATATCAAATCTAAACAATAAATTCTTTATAATAGGAAGATGACTTCTCAATTACAAGATGATTTAGGATAGCTCTGCTGGACCAAGTATTGTTCTTCCAAAATGTGTCTCATAAAAATAGTATTGAGTCATAGCCTTAAAATGCAATCTCTTGAGACAGGGATTTCAGAGAGTTAGGCTCTATCTGGAAAAAGCAACTAAATACAGTCAGAACCTAAAATTAGCCTTATTGGTAATACAACAAAATTCCAAATCAACTTGTAACTATCACTGCTCCAAATATTTGGAAACTAAGAAAGAAGTTATAGGAATTCTGAGTTGCCAAGGCAATGGCAGCCATGTAAATCAGAAATTCCCAAAATTCATTCCAAAAAAAGATGAACAAATAACACTGTACAAAACCTATGTCTTCAGCACAATTAGAAGTCAAAGAACATCCTAATATCAAGTTACCTAGTAAGTGAACAGTGATAAAACAGATTCTAATAAATTATCTCCCATGCATCCACCATGAGCCTTCATGGAGAGGAAGGGGAATTCTGGGAAAACTGTGAAAATAATGAAAAGACATTCTGGTCCATGAGCACATTGACTGTAGGAAAGAGACTTAAAGTGCAGAGAGGAATGTGAGGAGGCAGTCTTGGAAAGTTTTCCCTTCCTGAGGAAGAAGAGGGTAAAGTCTCCAGTCACAAAACACCACATCTTGGATGATTCCATTTACATGAAATGTCAAGAACGTGCAAAACTATGGCGATAGAAGATTGGTGATGGTCTGGGGCTGGGGGGTGGGAGGATGGAATGGGAGCAACTGCTGATGGACACGGGGTTCTTTTTGAAGGACAAAGTGTTCTCAAATTATGTTGTGGTGATGGTCACATAACTCTGTGGCTAAAACAAAAACCATTTAATTGTGCCCTTTAAGGGGCTGAATTATAATGGTATGTGAATTATATCTCAATAAAGCTGCTTAAAAAAAAAAGAAAGAAAAGGAGAGGTGCTTTTTGAAAACCACACAACAAAGGAGACAAGAGGCAAGATTGAGGGGAAAGTTTAGAATCTTTCAAAACAAAAGAAAATGTAAAAAAAAAAACAAAACCAAAGGACACACAATCCCTCCCCCACCCCCTCCCTTTAAAAGTAGAAGTCAGCCAGTAAAAACACCATACTTTGCTTCACTGAGGAAAGGAATATTCTAGAATGACTCCCGGGATTTTGGCATGGGCAGGCAAGGGTGGGTACTAGTGTCATTCATCCAAACAGGGAAGAAATGTGAGACTGAGGGTGAAGTTGATATTAGGAAGATATTGAATTTGAATGTCCCTGGGATATTCATTTTGAATTCAAGGTTAAATAGATGTGGAGCTTAAAAGAGAAGCAAAGTTGAGAATCTTCATGTTACAAAGGAGTTTCAATCATCCATAGCAAGCACTTAGACTGAAATAAAAGAGTGTGTTTATAGAAGTTAGTTGTGGATAGACTTCCAAGAAAACCAGGAATTAACAGGTGGCTGAAGTAAACAACAAGGAAACAAAGACTAATTATTAGGAAGCTAAGTGCAAAAGACATTTTCTCTAGTGTTAAAAAAGTTATTGATGGAGAAAGCAATCCCTCTATCATATTTTTAATTTTGATGAAATTTCTCAGTCACAAAATAAGAAAAATCTAGATAATGGAAAAAAATAATACATCAGTCTTAGCAGCATTTTGTTGAATATGACGTCTACTCAGGCATGAGAAACAAAAGAAAAAAACAAATGGGACTACATCAGGCTAAAGAGCTTCTGCACGGCAAAGGAAACCATGAACAAAACGAAAAGACAATCTGCCAACTGGGAGAAAACGTTTGCAAATCATATATCCAACGAGGGGTTATTCTCCAAAATAAATAAAGAATTAATACAACTCAACAACAGAAAAACAAAGAACCTCATCAAAAAATGGGCAAAGGATATGAACAGACATTTTTCCAAAGAAGAAATACAGGTGGCCAACGGATACATGAAAAGATTTTCAACATTACTAATTATTAGGGAAATGCAAATCAAAACTACAATGAGATATCACGTTACATCTGTTAGAATGGCTATAATTACCAAGACAAAAAATAGCAAATGTTGGAGAGGATGTGGAGAAAAGAGAACCCTCATACACTGCTGGTGGGAATGCAAACTGGTGCAGTCATTATGGAAAATAGTGTGGAGATTTCTCAAAAAATTAAAAATAGAAATGCCGTATGATCCAACTATCCCACTACTGGGCATTTATGCAAAGAACTTGAAATCAACAGTTCAAAGAGACTTATGCACCCCTACTTTCATTGCAGCGTTATTCACGATAGCCAAGACGTGGAAGCAACCCAAGCACCCATCAACTGATCAATGGATAAAGAAGATGTGATATCTATATACAATGGAACACTACTCAGCCATAAAAAAAACACAAAATCATCCCATTTGCAACAACATGGATGGACCTTGAGGGTATTATGTTGAGCAAAATAAGCCAGACAGAGAAAGACAAACACTGCATGATTTCTCTCATATGTGGAAGATAAACAAACACATGGATAGAGAGAACAGATTAGTGGTTACCAGAGGGGAAGGGGGTTCGGGGGTGGGCAAAAGGAGTAAAGGGGCACATATGTATGGTGATTGATAAAAATTAGACTGTTGATGGTGAGCATGATGCAATCTATACATAAACTGATAAATAATGTACACCTGAAATTACACAATGTTATATACTATTATGACCTCAATAAAATAATTGAAAAAGAAAAAACCACATTATTATTTGAAACCCATCAAAGACCTAAGGTTTCAAAGTAACATAATGAACTAAAATCTGAGAA